TTTTTTTTTTTTTTTTTTTTTTTTTTTTTTTTTTTTTTTTTTTTTTTTTTTTTTTTTTTTTTTTTTTTTTTTTTTTTTTTTTTTTTTTTTTTGTCATGAAAGTTTAGTGGAATGTTCACGAGTAAATAGCTAAGAATGAAAGCGAAAAAGAATTTAAATGGATGATGGCAAACCAATTCTTTTCATGACTATAAAAAAAAAATTTTAAGAAAACCATAAAAATAAAAGAAAACAAATATCATAAAATATAATACACAGCAAACATTAGGCAAAATATAATTTACTATAACTAAATAATTACTTATTGTCGTAATTACAAACCGTCATAATAACTATTAGTAATTTGCCTCTTAAAAAAGCAAACGATTTACGATTTTCAGTGACTTTTTATTTTATTTACTCCTGACTGCAATTTACTAGTAGTCACGTGTTCAAGTTATATAATTACGAGTAATTTTAATTATTGTAATCAATTTAGTAAGGTAATTTAGTATACAATTACACATCCCCCCTTGGAAAATTGGCTCAACACCGTACCGTAATATCAAGCAAATAAGCTGCACAATTTTTTATTAAACAAATATTAATTTTAGTTAACATTAAACAGTATTATTAATTTTTTTCGTTATTAAACAAATTATTTATTTGAGATAACCAATAATTTATCGCTACGTGAACGTGCATTAGTTTTGACATATATAATCAATTAATTCTAACCTTTATTTAAGTGTCGTAAAATTTTTTATCTAAATATTTTTAAAATATCAATAAAACAGACAATTATTTATTGACTTTCCTTATGCATTGCTGCTCAAAGTATAAAACTGCATGTCTAATACTTTATTCTTTATTTTATGAGAATTTGTACTTGATCGTTGAACAAAGCAATTTAAGGTATCCAACTAGTTTCGACAATTTTTTTTAAATTAATGTGAAATTTTAAAAGAAAAACTAGTTTATTTGTTTTATTAACTGTAAAACTGGCAATGAAAATTATTACTATTTTATTTTTGTTTTTTAAATGACCATTTTATGCGAAAAATAAGGCATTTTTTTTGCATAGACGCTAAATACTGTTAAAAAATTGGAGAAAACAAACAATCCGTTGAGGAATTTATTTAGGAGGCTATCAACTATGTCTGGAAATATTATCGCAAAAGTAAGCGCATGTACTACTGAGTTAGGTATCAGTTTAGCTAAGAAAGAAAGTTTTTAGAAATTTTCGCTCTTCTCTTTGCGAAAAAACATGCATAAAAGTGAAATTCCTTATTTTTCTCTTAGTTTATTGTTCTAAACTTGGGTGCTATTATCATAAACACTCATCGAAAATTGTAGACAATTATTTTAAAAACAACATGAAATATAGTGTTTAACGTGGTGTGAAATATGAAAAAATCTAAAAATATGATTTTGAGATAAACGCATTTAAAAACTTCAAATCATTAGTCAATCCACTGTTATCACCTTGCACAAAAACTGCTATAACCTAGTAAATCATTGAAGTTGAAAAGTAAAGTATTTTTAGAAAGCTAAGATTACAGGGATTCTAAATTTATAATAAACTCAATTTCAAAAATTTTATCCAAAATTATGTTTTTGCACTAGTCTGATGAAACAATAGTACTTACAATATGATCATCCCTAAACCGCAAAAATACGTGGTGTATAAAGTACGAAACAAATCTACGAAATAGTAGTCTTGCCCTTTAATTTTCTCCTTTTATAGTATGCATTTTAGCTATTTCAGCTCCAATAGTTTCCCAAAATACTCGAAAACGAGCTATTTTTGAAACAATCTAATTCCTTGAAAATTAACTTTCACTACCTTGAATTTGTCGACTAATTTTTTTTTTAAAGATGGCATTAACTGTTCTTCATACGAAACGTGCTCTACTCATCATGAAGTCATTCACTAAAGATGTAAATTCAGCAAATTTTCTGTAAGTATGGTTGGAAAAGAGAAGTTGAATTACTTGCTTTAATAGATATTTTTAGATTCATCAGGAAATTGTAAGTCATAAAAAGAATTTTGAGTTTAATTTAGAACCATATTACTCAAACCAAATTTTAAAACAATGTATCATTGGTTTTCTTTAATCTAAGTGGAAAAAAATGAGTTAAATAATTAATATGGATTTTAAAAAAATTGGGCATGAAACTACACTAAACTGTTTGCTAAAGTCAAGACAGTTTTTAAAAAATATTAGAGGTACCTTAAAATTTTACCTAAAGTCTGCAAAAATTCAAACTTGCTTATAAGTCTAAAAAATGCAACGCATTTTTATTGATAAAAAGTATTTATTCATTAATACAGTACTTTCCGTTGTTTCGATGTTTTTATTGTTTCTCAACGCTTTCCATAGTTTACATAATCTCTTTTTAAAATTATCATTCGTCAAAGAAAGCCAAGGATATATTTTCGTTTTCGTTCACAAAATCAACTTTTCGTCCTTAAAATAATTTTCCAGGTAACAAAATGTATGAAAATATAAATTAACGAGTTTAAGACAGTTTTTGTTTCATCTTTTAAGGCTCTAATTTTTTACCGTGTCTATTGAGGGACTTGTAGTGTTGTAGTGAAATAAATGCCTATTTTCATTGAAAGAAATGGGAACGTTTTGCTCACAAACTGAAATGAAATTAGTTTCTCACACAATACTGTTAGAACTTGGGGTCTGTTGAACTAAAATTTCTTTCAAATTTACCACATCCCTATAATGGTATTAAGTTTCAAAATATTTTATTACTTCTTATATTTACTTAAACGATATTATGGTTTTACTTTAAGAGAAAATTGGTTCAAATTAATAACTCACTAAGACTGTTAATTCAATTTCCAGTACTATGACATTCGGATAATAACATTGTCATAGATAACAACAATGTACGGATAATTTCTTTAAATATTAGACAAAAAAATATTTCAAGGACAATAGCAAGAGCATCAAATTTTAAACTTTAATAATTATCTATTAATTATTATTCTGATTTAGATAAGATCTTTCACTCTAATAAATACATTTTTGGAATAGTTTTTCGTTATTTAAAATGTCTGAGATGGGCACAGTAGGCCTTGGCCCTCTTGGGCTGTCGCGCCGCTGAGTTTAGTTTAAAATGACTATACTCATTAAAACATATTGCTTACTAATGTTTTTTTTTAGATAAATAATTTTTTTTATACTTTTACAGTCTAATAACCAAAATGTTTTATAAGGTTCTATAATAAGAGTCAAACATTCTAGAAAGATTTACTGTGCATGTTTACCACAACTTTCTTAAAGTGTCTAATTGGAACTCAATATCGTACAAAATTAACCATAATTTGATAAAACAAACTTAAGAAAAAGTAATTGTTTAGTTAACTTGGCATTATAGCGACAAAATGTAGTTCTGATTGTGGTCAAAATACTCAGAAATATTTTAAATCGTAGAATTTTATGTTATATTTTGTCGTACTATAAAATTAGTAGAATGTAAGTCTCTAACAAAATGGCCTCCCCGCACAAGGTATTAAGTGTTTAACAGTACATTCGGAATACATTCCAGCACAACTCATCAGGCATTGTGGCTGCTTAAAATAACCTCAATGCTCACCTGACCTGAACCCTATGGCCATTTTTCTGTGAGAGTGCATCAAACTGTGAGTGTATGCAACCCACCACAATCATTGCACGAACTTCGAAAATCATATCAGAGATGTTTGTATTAGCGTGTCATCTACCATGTTGTAAAATGTGCAGTGGGACAAGCAGTCCCACATTCAGATGAGAATTGTTGCTGAGGAACACTATTTTGAGCATGACAAGTAGGTGGGGGCAAGCGGCAAGTGCTGTTCTGTTCAACGTGATCAAACAAATGGCCTTTTCATTTGTATTATTTTTGGCCACAGGATTTTTTTTAATGAATTGATGATGCTGAACAACTTTGTAATTGGCTTTTTTCCCGCGTCTTGTGCTATTTATGAGATAAAAATGGTAACTCCGAAATTTGCCGCCAGTTAACGCTGTAAGTGTCTTCCTCGCGTAGGTAATGGCAACTTAAGAGCTGAAAATATGGTAATTGAATTGTTACAAATAAGAATATTAAGAAAATGGCTGGATTTTGATCAGAAGACTCTTTACAAATTGAAATAAATTTAATTTTTAAATAATTGAAAAGTTGAAGAATTCGTTCCTTCAGAAAATTCATAATATATTTTTTTTTTCAGAAATTATCCTCCCCCAGCCCCTGAGTAAAGCTCTTAATTTAAAGAAATATATATTCTTATTTTATATCCGGCATTGAAGAGCAGTCCGATCTTCGGAATTTTGACTATCACTGCCTAACTCAGAAGACAAAACTCAGAAGACTTATTCAGAAGACAAAAGAAAGGGTATGCTAACCTTCTATGAGGATTTTTTGATGGAATTAACTCGCATTTCCGTAAAGCTTGGGGACAAAGGAATTCTAGCCCATGATCCGTCTACTACAGGGGATATTTTACATCGGCATTGTAGCCGGTGTGATCCTGGAACAAAAAGAAATCGACTAGCTATCATTGAGGTTCGGATCTGGGACATGTTAGGCTTTTCGCAAAGTGATGAACATTAGACTTAGATTGAGAATGAATTGTGTTTTGAAGATTGATGCGTGGAATGCGACCTAATTTGTCTATCTAGTGGTGCCATCTACAGTATAAAATGGGAAATACCAGACTTATTTGTGTTTTATGTCATTAATGCGGGAATGAGAGTTTTGTGCACCAATAGTCCAGAGCCTTTAATGTAGGAGTGTAGGATAGATAAAATTCCTCACGCAAATGAAGGAACGGAGGAAATATTGTGATGCCAACGCTGAGATTCGAACTCCCGTTTAGCCGGCCATGAGATTGACAGATTATCCCTCTCTTACAGCAATACACTTAGGGGTTTCATAAAATGTTCAACACACAATTATTACTCTAAGATTAATAGACTTTAAGTGATGAAAAATAGAAATATGAATTCGTAATCAAATGAATTAGCTTCCATTTTTCGAAAAACTCGCGCCCAATTATCATTTGCTGTGACCCTAGTTGACGCGGATAAAATTCTATCCTGTTGCTTATAAAATTCTGTCAATAAAAAAATTAATAGGTTATTTTTTTCAAAGTTAACAAATTGAATACGATCTTTTTATGGTTAATTGACTCTTTTTATTAAATATGGTGTAATAACAGTAAAATAAAATGTCATTCAACCATTTTTTTCATGAGAAATTTCTTACAGTGTGTACCACCATAGAAAAAAATCAGAAGTTGTAAGGTTTAGTAATCCTGGAGACCACTTAAGATGAACAGTATCACGCTGCCAATCTCTTCAATGACATTGCCTAACAAATAATCTCCACATGACTGAAATATCTTGGAGCATTAAAATGAAAATAATAACTCTCATTTTCAGTATGGTGAACCCTCCAATATCATTCATTTGGAATTAATATTTTATATCTGCTTCTTTATCTGAATTCAATGCAATTAAAATAATCAGAATAAAATAAATTACCAAAAAACTGCAATTCAATGAAAACAGGCAGAGTTCAATTTAGAATTTATTTTATTAAAATGTTTTGCTTTATTAAAAGAAATCAGTTTTTCAAAACTTCTTCAATTTTCTTCATTACATCCCCAAACATGTCTCCTATCTCATTTTTGTACTCCGTGAAGAAAAACTTAGCTTCTACTGCCATGTGCTTGGTCAGCATTCGAGAGTCATGCAAAAACTGAAATTCAAAGTGCATATATATGAATATTATATATATATATATATATATATACTTCCATGTTTTAAAATGTTTGAATGAAAAACAGACAAATAATTGAAAGTCTAAAGTTATTCGAATTATATATGCCATTTTAGTAACACGTTGAATGCCACACTAATTTTACATGGCTTGCCCGTCTGGCCACACGGTAAATAACTACGAACTAAATTTGCGAATATTAGACAGATTTTGCTAGTTTTTTTAAAGGTGTAGCATGACATATCTGAAAAAAAGTGGTGAATTATATAAGCCTGCGAATTGTTTAGAATTATNTATATATATATATATATATAAGTATTAAGATTACAACAGAAAGTTCGCTAAATGTTATACATGCTCCAAAATTTCTGACAGGTGAAAATGTATCACAAATTTGGTTAACTTTTTAACCATGGTATTTCACATTGAACCATATTTTTTATTTCATTCTTCTACTGCAGCATTTTAAGAAGTTGAATTTATCTGTGTTGAATGGTTGAACAGTGCTTTAAAATTTGTGCAGTGCTTTAAAGTTCAAGAAGGATTTATGCTTACTATAATGTGATGCAACATATTAAACTTGCAGCAAATTTAAACGATATTATAACTCAAAACTCTTCGATTTTTTTTTACATTAGTAAAATAAATCCGGACACTACGAATTTCTTCACATAAGTAAAATCAATTACATTGTTCAATTGATTTTACTTATGTTAAAATTCTTAACTTTTACGTACTTTTTACAATTGACTAAAATATTAATATGTAATCCCTTAAGTTATTCTGAGACATACTTAACAACTCTTTTTAAGTCACGTACTTAATAAACATTTTTAATAAAATCATTCAACTACAATAGATGTTTTAAGGCATTAGAAAATATAACAATTACACTGGAGAAAATTTTTCATTGCGTTGAACCACAATTTAATTTATTTCGTCGTAAACTTTTTTATACCAAGAAATTAATTTTTAAAGTCATTACTTTAAATTTGAAGGTATGTTAAAACCATATTTGTACAGAATTTAAAAATTTTCGATTAAAACTAATTCATGTTCGATTCCAAACTAATATATGTGTAGTTAAGTACAGTGAAATAACTGTACAAAGGGACGTGTAACTTGAATCAAAATTTGAAATACACTAAATTTTTGCTCTGAAAATTTAAGTTTCCTTCTGCCTTACTTTACTCTTAAAATTAATTGCGTCAAATTATGAAAAATCTCAATGTTTCTTTTTAAAATGCATTTAATGGTACGGGAAACAATACTGTTGTAGCAATGTCGTGTCCCCCTATTTAAACTTGTGCAAATTCAGGAAAATTGGTTCAAAGTTAAACCATTATGTCTGTACACATTAAACAGCAAAATAGTGCAATGTTGTTGCAACCTTAATGAAACCGTCAATTCAATTCTTCAATTACTTCAATTATGAACAAGCTTTGTAATTGTATGTTGTTTTTTGGTCAGTCCATTGAGAATTTTACCTATATACTTTGTTCATTTTTATAATTAGTATTAATTGTTTTGCTTTCCATGCACTGAATCTATTTCTTCTATATTTTATGTATTTTTCTTCCAAAAGAGGTTTTAGGACTCTAAAATACTTTTATCTTGTTTAACAGTTATTCACAGAAAAAACTCCCCCATAAATTCATACAGTATGTTCCCTGAAGTAGTCCCGCATTGTTTACATATTTTTTTTGTTCTAATTCAATTTACTATCCCATTTCAATTTAAGCATTATTCTCTAATTTTTATAAATATATTTGAATGCAATTTTTGGGCTGATGCTGTTTTAGACCTTTCCCAGATTTCACTTACATCTTTCTTTATTGCTTTAATGCTACATTTTCAAACTGATTTCATATAGATTTTTATTTAATACTATGATTGAATTACATAGATTTGATTCATTATTTCGTCATATACATTGTCGATTGTTGATTCATTATTTTGTCATATTCGTCTCGTCAAATTTATTTATTATTTGCGTAAAGAAGGCCCATCTAAAAGGAACACTTTTAGAAATAATTATTTTATATTCTCACCTCACGAGCAATCAATTTCAGGCTTTCAGATTTGTCCTTCCCTTTTTCTAAAACATCTTCGTATTGCTCTTTCACCCACTTTCCAAACTCAGCGTACTTTTCATGCAACTCTATGTTCAATTTGTTGAAATATTCCTTCACTTTGTGGAAGTAGTCACTAATTGAATTTTGTGCCTCTTTCTCACCTAAAATTCGATCGATGAAATCCAAGATTTTCTGCTTGCCTCCTTTGTCTTTCAACCAAGTTAGAAGAGTTTCTCTAATCTATATTATGCGAGAATAATTAATTGTAAAGTGTCAATGATATTATTATTAAGGCGTCATGACAAATTAAAAAATATTAAGTAGCATATTTTAGAGTAATTCATAAAAAAGTACAAAAATTTCGTCAATCAAAATTTTTGATACTGATGTCAGCTACGTAAAACAATTCCTCTGTTTACGTAATTGACGTCATTCTAAATTAATGAAACTTCTTGCACAGTTTGGAATTCTGATTTGCAACTTACCTCACTTCCTTTACCGAAAACTTTCTCGATGTACTCTTTGATTTTGTTCAAATCAAATTTCTCTCTGATCTGTAAAAGAAATATATTATAATTACTTATCTTATTATAAATCACTGATCTAAGTCAGTATGACTTATTAGGACAGATTCAAAGAATAATTTAGAAATTATTGTTATGTAAAAGCCTATAATTTCTAATATATTGACATGAGAATATAAGTTGTTATCATTGAAACCCTCTTATAAATCTCAATAACCGTTTTAAGAGGAAAATATTATGAATCAACATTAATTCAGGGGACTTTTTTCGTAATAGCTTCGCTCATTCTTTCATTAGACAAGGAGTAACAGAAGCAATCCAAATAGATCAACAAAAATAGTGAGTTGACCAAAGCAGCAGAGCAAGAGGTCAGACTCCCTAGTTATGAAACTTAATTATAAAATAGTGTAAAGTCAGGTAAATAATATTAAACATTTAAAAACTATTAAATAGTAGTTTGATAGTTTGTATAAANTAACCATAGTATTTCACATTGAACCATATTTTTTATTTCATTCTTCTACTGCAACATTTTAAGAAGTTGAATTTATCTGTGTTGAATGGTTGAACAGTGCTTTAAAATTTATACAGTGCTTTAAAGTTCAAGAGGGACTTATGCTTACTATAATATGGATGCAACATATTAAACTTGCAGGAAATTTAAACGATATTATAACTCAAAACACTTCTATTTGTTTTTTACATTAGTAAAATAAATCCAGACACTACGAATTTTTTCACATAAGTAAAATCAATTACATTGTTCAATTGATTTTACCTATGTTAAAATTCTTATTTTTTACGTACTTTTTACAATTGACTAAAATTTTAATATTATTATTATATTAATATTAATATTATTAATATTATATGTATATTCCCTTAAGTTATTCTGTGACATACTTAACAACTCTTTTTAAGTCAAGTATTTAATAAACATTTTTAATAAAATCATTCCACTACAATGGATGTTTTAAAGCTTTAGTCAAATATAACAAATACACTGGAGAAAAATTTTCAGTGTGTTGAGCCATAATTTAATTTATTTCATCGTAAACTTTTTTATATCAAAAAATTTATTTTCAAAGTCATTACTTTAAATTTGAAAGTATGTTAAAACCATATTTTTGCGAAATTGAAAACTCTTTGATTAAAACTAATTTATGTTCGATTCCAAACTAATTTATGTGTTTCTAAGTACAGTGAAATAACTGTACAAAGGCACGTGTAACTTGAATCAAAATTTGAAATACACTAAATTTTTGCTGTGAAAATTTAAGTTTTTTTCTGCATTACTTTACTCTTAAAATTAATTGCGTCCAATTATGAAAAATCTCAATATTTCTTTTTAAGGTACATTTAATGATACAGGAAATAAGACTGTGCAATTGTTGTAGCAATGTCGTGTCCCCCTATTTAAACTTGCACAAATTCAGGAAAATTGGTTCAAAGTTAAACTATTATGTTGATATACATTAAACCACAAAATAGTGCAATGTTGTCGCAACCTTAATGAAAAACTGAATCATATTTTCATTTAAGCTGTACCATATTATAGAATAATTAAATTCCAGAAACACTATAATATGGTTTAACTTTCCACCTTAGAAAACATAACAGCGAATTTTAACTGTACTATGGTTCAACTAAGTATATAACGAAGTATAAATACATAGAGTAGTTTCCTTTAGTTCTTTTCCGTATGCTCCTTTTTGTTGGTAACGGTAATTTAAGACGTCTACTTCAATTATAAACAAGCTTTGGAATTGTATGTTGTTTTTTGGAGAGTCTATTGAGAATTTTACCTATATACTTAGTTCATTTTTATAATTAGCATTAATTGTTTTGCTTTTCATGTACTGAATCTATTTCTTCTATATTTTAATTATTTTTTCCAAGTGAGGTTTTAGGACTCTAAAATACTTTTACTTTGTTAAAAAGTTATTCACATATAAAGCTCCCCCATAAATTCATGCAGGATGTTCCCTGAAGTAGTCCGGCATTGCTTACATATTTTTTTTTGTTCTAATTCAATTTACTATCCTATTTCAATTTAAGCATTATTCTCTAATTTTTATAAATATATTTGAATGCAAATTTTGGGCTCATGCTGTTTTAGCGCTTTCCCAGGTTTTACTTACATTTTGCATTATTGCTTTAATACTACATTTTCAAACTGATTTCATATAGATTTTTATTTAACAATATGATGGAATTACATAGATTTGATTCATTATTTCGGCATATACATTGTCGATTGCTGATTCATTATTTTATCATATTCGTCTCGTCAAATTTACTTATTATTTGCGTAAAGAAGATTGCCCATCTAAAAGGAACACTTTTCTAAATAATTATTTTATACTCTTACCTCACGAGCAATCAATTTCAGGCTTTCAGATTTGTCTTTCCCTTTTTCCAAAACATCCTCGTATTGCTCTTTCACCCACTTTCCAAACTCAGCATACTTTTCATGCAACTCTATGTTCAATTTGTTGAAATATTCCTTCACTTTGTGGAAGTAGTCACTAATCGAATTTTGTGCCTCTTTCTCACCTAAAATTCGATCGATGAAATCCAAGATTTTCTGCTTGCCTCCTTTGTCTTTCAACCAAGTTAGAAGAGTTTCTCTAATCTATATTATGCGAGAATAATTAATTGTAAAGTGTCAATGATATTATTATTAAGGCGTCATGACAAATTAAAAAATATTAAGTAGCATATTTTAGAGTAATTCATAAAAAAGTACAAAAATTTCGTCAATCAAAATTTTTGATACTGATGTCAGCTACGTAAAACAATTCCTCTGTTTACGTAATTGACGTCATTCTAAATTAATGAAACTTCTTGCACAGTTTGGAATTCTGATTTGCAACTTACCTCACTTCCTTTACCGAAAACTTTCTCGATGTACTCTTTGATTTTGTTCAAATCAAATTTCTCTCTGATCTGTAAAAGAAATATATTATAATTACTTATCTTATTATAAATCACTGATCTAAGTCAGTATGACTTATTAGGACAGATTCAAAGAATAATTTAGAAATTATTGTTATGTAAAAGCCTATAATTTCTAATATATTGACATGAGAATATAAGTTGTTATCATTGAAACCCTCTTATAAATCTCAATAACCGTTTTAAGAGGAAAATATTATGAATCAACATTAATTCAGGGGACTTTTTTCGTAATAGCTTCGCTCATTCTTTCATTAGACAAGGAGTAACAGAAGCAATCCAAATAGATCAACAAAAATAGTGAGTTGACCAAAGCAGCAGAGCAAGAGGTCAGACTCCCTAGTTATGAAACTTAATTATAAAATAGTGTAAAGTCAGGTAAATAATATTAAACATTTAAAAACTATTAAATAGTAGTTTGATAGTTTGTATAAATCATACTTGGGGGTATTTTTACAACAAAAGACAAAGACCATTATCCCCTAAAAGAACTTATTCAATAAAACAATGATTCTACTTGTAATGGGGTGGTTTTAGATACTTGATTAGTAAAATCTTGTTGCTGTTGTTACTCATCCCTCTGGTGTAGGAAAGCCTACAAGAGGTCCAAAAGAGATATCACCACCTGCAAACATCAAAAATCTTCTCCTGCTCAACCAACAGCTGCCTCCAGGAGGCTCTTAAGCAAGGTGAGCAGGGCTGGAGGGAGGGAAACAGGAGCAAGGAGAAAAAATCTTTTCCCTATTACGAAATTTCATGCATCTAAGGTATGTGAATGGCCCATGGCTAAGGGTAATATGCATATTCATTTGATTGAGGAACCACGAGGGCTGAAGACAGACTAAATTCGCTTACTGTCATTAGCTGAGCATAATGGAATTGCCTTCGGTGACTCTGTCAGGAAAATACGCTCCTGACATACTTCGCCCGTTCAGTCCTGGGACACCCTATCGCCCCTAAGAGGTTGACTGCACGACTAAAATCTGTTTTTTTTTTTTTTTGTTATAATTGTTTTCTGCAAATCTGTGATATTTTTCCCTCTTCTGCAATAAAAGCAGATTTGATTAACTTCACATATTACTATCCTAGTCCCCCTTTTGATCTATTCATACTTTTTCTGAATTAGTTTTCTCTTTTTAAAAAAACAAAACGAGTTTCTCTTTTTTTTTCAATTTCTGATTGAAAATTTTCTTTACCAGATTCGACAGATTTCGTTTTTATATTTAAACCAAAAATATATTAAGTAAGAAGATAAGGAATTAAAAAAATGATTTAAATCATTCAGTAATTTTCATATAAAAATTATAGATTTTATCTAGTCAATATCAATATGAAACACACATTAACACCCACTGATTTAAACAAATTTGCTTGAAATATACTATACTATAGTCTATTTATACTATAGTTTGTTTATTTTTAAGAAAAAAGTTCTCAATTTTTTTTCAAAAAATTTTAATCTTATTTTTTAACCTAAGCCATTGTTAGTTTCAAGTATCTGAAATTGCTATCTGTAATATTTAGTACAACAGGTTCATTAAAGTTAAGATTATATTCCATTATATGATTATAATATAAGTTTTCACTTAAACTTTATTTATAATCATCTTGACTCATAGAATTTTAATATTTTTGTATATTAATATAAAAACTAAACTAAACTACTTTTGAACTTTTAAAAAGCTGTGCTTCTGTTTAATTATCGATTTGAATCATGATGATTTTAAGTTCAGTGTACTAAAAACATATAGATATATATAATTTGTTTCTTACCTGTTTCTTGAGCTCCTCAAACATTCCAAAAATATCAATATCAGCAGATCTTTTAGAAGTGAGCTTTTCCTTCAATTTGTTCCAATAATCTTTTACTTTTTCTTTCAAAACCTGGAGATATTCCTTTGCCTTCTCTCCTAAATCGATGTTCAAAAGTTTCAAAGCATCGCGAATTTGTTGGATCTGAGAAAGAAACAATTTCGTTTCATATAAATCAAGTACCGTATACTTTAATACTTTAGGTTGATAATTCTAAGCATAAGCTAAAATACTCCAGTCGGCTTATAAATAGTCCCAAATGCTAAAAAGAACATCACAGAGATTTTTTAAAAAAAATGGCAAAAGCATACTCTACTACCGGCTTAGAATTTACCATACTCATTGTGAAACAGTAATTATTAATTAAGTTATCCATTATTTTAGTTAAAAATAATCCCAAGGAAATGAAGTGCTACGATACTGCTTCATTAAAAAACTTATTTCGCTTCAAAGATATACAGATTAGAAGTAGAAGTTGACATGTTTCAAGAACTCAAAAATAGACGAAAATTTTCAAGGCTTGCCAGACGTGCATAAGAAGAAACAAAAATGATTTGAATTATAAGCGTCATAGTTTCAGTTTTGTATTATTTGTATAAAATAAATTGATATTTAACCATTTTTAACAAGAAATTTCAAAAGTGTAATTTACATTGTATACACGTTAGATAATTCACTAATAATTTGATAATCTGCAAAGAATAATTATTTATGGACTGAAAATTTACGAAATACACACGTTTGATATTTATGGGCATTGAATTTCGCGAATTAATGGTTTAAGAAGTATGCAAGCTTCATAAATTAAGAAGCATGACAAATAGCAAGTTTTTCTTTTGCAAAATAGGCTTGATATATAATTTGCAAACTAATTATTATTTACGAACTGAAATTTACGACTCATGCAGTTACATCTAAGGCCATTTGCAGAGATGATTATTTGTGAATTCGTTATTATATTTTAATTCCTGAAATATGCGCGCATGCTCAAATTTGTAAAAGAAATTCATTAATATTTGAATTATATTTTAACTGCAAGCGTTGTTTTGGAACAAACTTTTATGGAAAATAAACTACTAAGTAAACTCAGTCACACTTGCGTTCTATTTTAAATGAAGTAAATATGAATTACATACTCTCTCCAAGTATTCTGTAACCGTGCTTCCATTGTCAAAGGCATCTTTTGCTTTTTTAAGGAGTTCTTCTAAAACTTCCTTCATTTTAAGGATATCAGATAAGTCAGCATGCCTAGAATGCAAATAAGATTCTCAAACTGCTTGCCTTTTTTTCTATTTAAAGAAATTTTATAAGGGTTTTTTTTATAACCGTCGTCCGTCGTTGAACAACCAACCCAATCCCAAGTTACCGACTATCAATGTTCAACTCCTTAGCCGTGGAATTTTGAACCCAAGATAGGAGACAAGAGAACTCTTGGATGAAGCATTGAGACAAACTAGCCTTCGTGGAGGACTTTTTTGATGGAACTAACCGGCATTTGGTTGCATGTGGAGGAAAACCATGTAAATCCCCCTCAGTTAACCAGACAGCAAGGAGATTCTAATTCATTATCCATCTACCACTGAGGGTATTTTTTACGTTAGCACAGTGGTTGGTGTGATCCGGGATCAAAATTCGTATGTACCAGATAGCGATGGGATTCGAACCTGGGATCATTGATAAGCCAATGCTCCATCCCCTGCTCCACCACAGCTAATTCTGTTAACAATTGTCTTAGTTAAAAAAAATATTAATTTGTTAAAAGGGACAAACTTGGCTTATTTTAACAATTTTAATTAAGACGTACACGCTGGTAGTTGATGTTGATGTTTTATTTACTTTTAAGATAATTGTTTGATAAAAAAAGAAACTCCCAAATTTAAAAAAAGAATCAGTTTCTTCAAATATCAGATTTTGTTTTCATTTTACATAGTTTATCACTGAAAGTTATTTCCTAATAGTGTAGGAAAAAGCTCATATGAATGAAAGAGTGACAGTGAATTGGCTCGCACTAGATTAGAATGAGGCAAAACTAAAAATATATTTTATCAAAATTAGTGTTTTTCATACTCGGTAGCGCAATACTGTTTTTTTATTCAAAAATTAAAAACATCAAAAAAATACCTAAATTATTTTTTATTATACATCTATGATATTTTTTAATTACATTTCTATTTTTCGACTAATTTAAAGGGGCTCTATTATTTTAATATTCTGATAATCGTAAAAAAGTATTCCTTTTAAAGAAATATTACGATCAACGGAAACAAAATATGGTTGAAGTGTGTAATATCAAATTGAATACGTCATTGGAATTGTTATAGAATAGTTTTTAAATATAATTCAAAGAATACTACAAAAAGTGCTTTAAAATTATATGTATAAAAATACATTGAAAACATATGTGACTTTAGTTACCGTAAAATTAATAAATTAACTAATGTTAATGGTTGCTCTTTTCTTATCTTTTAGTTTTTCTTTTCCTTTTAAGGTTTTAAACACGATAGAATTAATTTTTATGTAAAAATTAATATAAATTATTTAATCATACAACTTTTTTAAAAAAAAACTTTACTCGTTGTCTAGTTACATAACTAATAATTCTACGAGATAGTCGTAAAATATTTCATAGATTGATGCATAAAATATATCAGTTTTCTCTTACTCGGCTTCAGCCATGATGTCTTCTGCATGATCGACGGCAGCTCTTTTATGAAAACCAAAGTTTTCCAAAAGTTTTCGTAATAAGTCACCAGTCCTATCTCTCAACTTCTTGAAACCCTCTTCACCCAGCTCTTTCCTAAGTTTTTCATTAAGCTCTTTTAACTGGAACAAAAATATGTATATGTTAAGTAAAATTGTAAGCAGTTCTAGAAATCAGCTCTTTATTGTATAAAATAATCGGAAAGCTGCTTTCAAAACATTTTTTTCCTTGAAAAATTATTGCTAAGTAAACCAATACTTTTTACTTACAACCGACCATTACATGCTCCCAATCGCAAAGTAATAGTTTTGCCGTATACTTCTCCTTCCTTAATAGTTATAGTTACTTCTCCCTCCTTAAAAAACCTTGTAACTAAGAGCTCCTATTATAATGTTTGGCGTACGCAATCTGAACCTTTTTTAGAAGTGGATTTTACTTAAAATCTTAAATTTGTGAGTTAAATTTATCGTACTTAAAATTTGTCTGTTTCTTATAAATTGAATATGTAAGACTAATTACGTAATCTAAAATTCGTTTTTAGCTAGTAAGATTTTTACTTCATTTCTGTAACCTTTGGAGTGGGACAAAGTATCCCAATTTACAGTTGCTTGCATGCTTTGCTTGCTTTCGCATGCCTGTTAAGGCAGAGGGGTGCGATTGTTCTTGTTTTCCAGTGGCGCCATCTATGGCCAAGAATTTGACTTCTGCCGCACCCATTACGTCACGCCCGTTTATAAGATGGAACCATTCATACATACATTCATTCATCCACAGATCGTAATTTTGCCCTAAATCAGAGAACGATCAATCTCCAATTCAGTACCCCCAGAGGTATTGATTTGCTATGGGAACATGGAGGACTTTGTAACTCGACAGATTTAACGTGTATCAGTCCCTATTTTACTACACGGGGAGTCTTCGGCCGGCGGGGTTCTAGCCTACAAACTCTCGGACATGGGCCCAGCGCCCTACCGACCAGGCTATCCCGGCCCTACAGTTGCAAATACAATTTACAGTTGCAAAAGAAATGTAATTTCCTGATTATATTTGTTTTTGTATGCATATATGTTAAAGGAAAAGGTTTCAGTGTATAATAATATTTTGATACGAATTCAAAATTAGACTTTTTATCCTAACAAATTTTATCCTAAGCTTAGCTTTTTAGAAGCTTTTATCGTAACAATCAATAAATACACAATCTATCAATAAGTACCTCCCATACACATCGGTGGATGTGAAGTTAAAGTTCGAGGTTATTTTTCTTGGTAAGGACTAGCTTAATTCCCAATCCTGCTATGCTATATATGATAACATTGTGCTTTCTGTGTCAGTTTTGCTAATTGAATCCATTTTGCTAACAGGACGATAACACTAGTCATGATTCGCCAAGAATGGACAACAATTCATCTTTTTATTTTATGGCATAATATTTTCACGTATTTTTACTAACGTATCTTTTTTGAGACGATGTTAAATGTTAACTGAGCTTAAAGGCAAAATGTAATTATTTACTGCAATTTCGATCAAAATCTAAACAGACACCAGTTTGGAATCGTTCTTGTTCCGCTCACATAAAAAAATAAGCGGAGCTTGTTAGGTAACAAAATATGTTGAACCATTTTCCTTTCTTTAAATATCAATAAAAGTTGAGGGAAATAATTACAGAGAAAACGAAACAGTTAAGATACTTGGTCCATCAAGAGTCGCTCGTTGGTATTGCAACGTATTAAAAATAAAAAGGGGAAATAGTTTCCTATCTAAATTCGATATAGGCGCATTTAAAAACAGAGCAGCTTAGTGAGGAAGATGAGATTGTTTGGTTGCTGCAGTTCCCATTAATGTATTTAATAGATTAAGATATCTCGCCCTAAGCGGATTTTCTTTCTAAAGGTGAATGCTGTAAAATTCAAGTTGCTATTATTGAAACTAGTATTTAATATTTGTCACAAAGTATGGAAAATAAAGCTTACCAAACGGGCCAGTATGTCCATATCTGAACCCTATCTAGAACCTCTGAGACAAGTTTAATCATCGATTAAAGAGGTGCAATATTCATTCAAGAACAGGGTTTCTTCGACATACTGATTGGAGGAAAATTCCCCTAGCTGTCTTACCAGCATTTCTGGAAACCATGTTCGAGATGGTTGAGGCAGTACTTATAGTGCGGTTTTCAGGAGAAATCCTCCAGAAATCCTCTCGTCGTGGCGGGTACTATGATTACAAGGAAAGGTCAATTCGAATAGGGGTGTAGGGTAAATAGTTTTGTCTTAGCGTAGGTCGTTTTGAGTAAACCAATCGACACCTTCTTTCCTCCATTTCTCCCCCATTAGAAATATGCTCTCGCTTGTTACCATAGCAGCAGACAGCCCCAGACTCTCAGTCTGGAGGAGTTCTCCTCAAAGCCCCACTGTACCCTCACGTGTATCAACAATTGAATATGAATACGGTCTTGTTTTTCTTTTCCATCATAGGTATCAAAATACTTATTGATAGATAGCGTATAAATTCCGACGATAATTTTAATCAAAAGCGAATTTCTTACTTTTTGGAGAGTTTCCTTCTGGAAAAGCTTTCCAGTTTCAATGACTTCTTTAATTTTCTTCAGAATTTGCCTCACTCGTTCTCTCAGCTGTTCTTTTACTTCATCTAAAGTGCTTTCACTGTGGAAAGAAAGAGAAAAGCATTATTTTTATTCACATATGAATCTGCATAATACTTAACAATATATTATTAAACCTATTATATTGCAAAATTATCTATTATTTTTAGCAATAAATTATGGTTATTTTTTCTATGTATCAGGCTTAAAATTGTTTTAACCTGATACATTGAAAAAATTTTAAAAAAATATTTTGTACTTTAAAACTGACTGAACAAGATGCAAATAGAAGTCCAAATTTATAATTTACTATTACGCTTTTTTCTTCACTAGATTAGTGAATTTTAAAGTAATACAAGGAAAAAAATACATTTCTTCAGAACATATAAATAAAAATTATAACTTAAATTATTTTAAATTTTTCTCACTTCATTCCTTTTTCAAACTTAAATATCATTAGCAATTTATTAAATTTAGTTGATAAAATAAGTCGTGTTTGCTTGTTCTTTCATCCTTAAGGTTAAGTTTTATTTTTATCGATATGAAAATTTTTAAAGCTTACGTTTCAGCTTCGAAAAGATCCTCTNGTGCCTCATTGGCTCTTGGCATTTCCGGCAAAGTTAAATTCCTAGTGCACTTTATCATCCAAATAGAGTCTCGGTGCTGCCATCTAGTGTGGCAGAAACTAGACGTCCAAATTAACATGGTCAACGGTATCTCACCCATTGTGGTGGTCCTGAAAGAGTGAATACCACTTCTGGAGAACGCACTAGGTCTGCTTATCGGGAAGACTGATTGTGCAGCTCATTGGAAATAAAATAAAGATTGATGCATAAAATATATCAAATCTCTCTTACTGGGCTTCAGCCATGATGTCTTCTGCATGTTCGACGGCAGCTCTTTTATGAAAACCAAAGTTTTCCAAAAGTTTTCGTAATAAATCACCAGTCCTATCTCTCAACTTCTTGAAACCCTCTTCACCCAGCTCTTTCCTAAGTTTTTCATTAAGCTCTTTTAACTGGAACAAAAAGATGAATATGTTAAATAAAATTATTAAAAACAGTTAGTTTCAAAAATCAGCTCTTTATTGTATAAAATAATCGGAAAACTGTTTTCGAAACATTTGTTTCCTTGAAGAATGCCATATTGAAAAAAACTGCTAAGTAAACCAATGCTTTTTACTTACAATCGACCATAATATGTTCGTAAATGCAAAATAATAGTTTTGCTATGTAAACAACTTATCCCTCCTTAAAGAACTTTCTAACTAACAGCTCTTATTATAATGTTTGGCGTACACAATCTGAACCTTTTTTAGAAGAGGATTTTACTTAAAGTTTCAAATCCATGGCATAAATTTATCGTACTTATAATTTGTCTGTGTCTTATAAATTGAATACAAAAGACAGTATGCGTATATTAAAAATGGTTTGCTAACTAGTTAGATTTTTACACCATTTCTATCACTTTTTGAGTGGTGGGACAAAGTATTCCTATATTGCAGTTGTAAAAGAAATATAATTTCCCGATTATATTTGTTTTTGTATTCATAAATGTTAAGGGAAGAGTTTTTAGTGCATAATAATATTTTGATACGAATTCAAAATTGGACTTTTTATCGTAAAAAATTTTATCGTAAGCTTAGCTTTTTAGACGCTTTTATCGTAACAATAAATAAATACACTATCTATCAATAAGTACCTCCCATACACATCGGTGGATGTGAAGTTGAAGTTCGAGGTTATTTTTCTTGGTAAGGACTAGCTTAATTCCCTATCCTACTATATTATATATGATAGCATTGTGCTTTCTACGCTGTGCCAGTTTTGCTAGTTGAATCCATTTTGCTAACATGACGATAACACTAGTCATAATTCGCCAAGAATGGACAACAATTCATCGTTTTTTTTCGACGTTAAATGTTAACTTAGCCAAAATGTAATTATTCACTGCAATTTCGATCAAAATCTAAACAGACACGGGTTTGGAATAGTTCTTGTTCCGCTCACATAAAAAAATAAGTAGAGCTTGTTAGGTAACAGAATATGTTGAACCATTTTCCTTCTTTAAGGATCAAAAAAAGTTGAGGGAAATAATTACAGAGAAAGCGAAACAGTTAAGATACTTGGCCCGTCAAGAGTAGCTCGTTCTACAAAAATATTCTATAACAATTCCAATAACGTATTCAATTTGATATTATATACTTCAACCCTATTTTGTTTCCGTTGATCGTAATACGATTTTTTTAAAAGGAATATTTTTTTACGATTATCAGAATTTTAAAATAATAGAGCCCCTTTAAATTAGTCGAAAAATGGAAATATAATAAAAAAATATCAATAGATGTATAATGAAAACTAATTTAGGTATTTTTTTGATGTTTTTAATTTTTGAATTAAGAAACAGTATTGTGCTACCGAGTATGAAAAGCACTGACCTAGTGCGAGCCAATTCACTGTCACTCTTTTATTCATATGAGATTCTTCTTGAACTATTAGGAAATAACTTATTGCAACGTATTGAAAATAAAAAGGGGAAATAGTTTTCTATCTAAGTACGATATAGGCTCATTTAAAAACAGAACAGCTGTGTGAAGAAGATGAGATTGTTTGATTGCTGCAGTTAAGATATCTCGCTCTAAGCGGATTTTCTTTCTAAAGGTGAATTCTGTAAAATTCAAGTTGTTTTTATTGAAACTGGTACCTGATCATTTTATCACAAAGTATAGAAAATAAAGCTTACCAAACGGGCTAGTATGTCCAGATCTGGACCCTATCTAGAACCTCTGGGACAAGTTTAATCATCGATTAAAGAGGTGCAATATTCATCCAAAAACAGTGAAAAAAATGAAGTTTCCTCGACGGGCTGATTGGAGAAAAATTCGCCTGGCTGTCTTACCAGAACTTTTGGAAACCATGTTCGAGATGGTTGAGTCAGTACTTATTTTCAGGATAACTCCTCCAAGCACCCGTCTCTCATCGTGGCGGGTACTATGGTTACAAGGAAAGGTCACTTCGAAAAGGGGTGTGGGGTTAATAGTTTTATCTTAGTCTTAGCTTAGGTCGTCGTGAGTAAACCAATCGACACCTTCTTTCCTCCATTTCACCCCCATTAGAAATATGCTCTCGCTTGTTACCATAGCAGCAGACAACCCCAGACTTTCAGTCTGGAAGAGTTCTCCTCAAAGCCTCACTATACCCTCACGTGTATCAACAATTGAATATGAAGACGGTCTTGTTTTTCTTTTCCATCATAGGTATCAAAATACTTATTGATGGATAGTGTATAAATTCCGACGATAATTGTAATCAAAAGCGACTTTCTTACTTTTTGGAGAGTTTCCTTCTGGAAAAGCTTTCCAGTTTCAATGACTTCTTTAATTTTCTTCAGAATTTGCCTCACTCGTTCTCTCAGCTGTTCTTTTACTTCATCTAAAGTGCTTTCACTGTAGAAAGAAAGATAAAAGCATTATTTTTATTCACATATGAATCTGCATAATACTTAACAATATTATTAAACCTATTACATTGAAAAATTATCCATAATTTTTAGCAATAGATTGTGCTTATTTTTTCTATGTATCAGGTTTAAAATTATTTTAACCTGATACATTGAAAAAAATTTTAAAAAAATATTTTGCTCTTTAAAAATAACTGAACGCAATGCAAATAGAAGTCCAAATTTATAATTTACTATTACGCTTTTTTTTTCACTAGATTAGTGGATTTTAAAGTAACACAAAGAAGAAAATAAATTTCTTCAGAACATATAAATAAAAAAATTATAACTTAAATTATTTTAAATTTTTCTCACTTCATTCTTTTTTTAAACTTAAATATCATTAGCAATTTATTAAATTTAGTTACTAAAATAAGTCGTGTTTGCTTGTTATTTCATCCTTAAGGTTAAGTTTTATTTCTATTGATATGAAAATTTTTTAAGCTTACGTTTCAGCTTCGAAAAGATCCTCTGATGCAAACTCTTCTACACGACTTTCCAACTCTAAAATGAAGAAATATAATCAACTATAAAGTGAAATCGTGATATAATTAATAAAAACTAGGGGCTGCGGACACTGCTCAATTTGCTTATCAACACCCACAATTGCTTTACAATCATTGTTTTTTGGTTGTGTACTGATTGCTACATTTAAATTTAATATTATTCAATTGCAAAATCCAGAATTTCTTTATTGCATTGCCTCATATTTTCTATACCACAGATTTAAAACTTATCGTAGAATTTAATTCCAAACTTATCACTTCTCTGAGTTATTGAAAATTTATTTATTGTTGTTTTTTAATGCTTTTTTAAATTTATAGCTGCTGTAAAAAGTCTTTGAATGTCTTTCGCTGCAATAATTATTTTCTATAGTGAGAAAAATTATTTCCTAATATTTATATTATTTTTAATACTTGTTTTGCAGTAATTAGTGTTTCCAGGTGACGATATAGCACAATTTTACATATAATTTTCGATAAAGGTAATGCACACGGAAATGAAATTCTGTTAAAATTACAGTACTATATGATAAGGACATTTATGGTATAAAAAACATAACTCTTGCTGAGAAACTGAAATATGTTAATTTTTCCATTCATATGATAATAGCAGTGAACCAGAAATTCTTTTTTCAAAATTATAGCTTTATCTGGCAATCTTATTGTGAAAATGTTTTGAATCATTCTTGAAGAAGTACTGTACGCGTAAGTTCGAGGCTCACTATATAGATTTTCTTTCTTATTTTGTTCTGTAATTTCCTTACACTTTATTTTCTGTTTTTTGTTTGATATGTTTTATTTCGTATATATTTTTTGCTTAATGTGTTCTATTCTCATTTCAATTTTTTGAGTGCTTCTCACTCTATTGTATTGATATATTTTGCTTCGGTTATGTTGAAACAATATTAGAAAGCACTCCTTTTTGAGGATATAATCGTGTGAGCTGAGGAAGAGATTATATCTTTTCTTTATTCTGTTTTCCGGATATTTAATATATACATACATATATATATATATACTAGGAGGCTTCGCCCCCTGCTCGCTGGCGCTCACCAACCCCCGGAACTGCTTTCACAGTTCATTTCGGATTGCTTAGCAATCCAATGCTCGCTTTGCTCGCTCATTGGATACGTTCTTAACGTCTAGTTTTTGTATACTTTTTTGAATACTGAAGTTCCGAAAACTTTTCACTGTAGAAAATTCTAAACCTGTNTATTCTGTATATAAAACCATCCTCATTCAAACTCAAGAGAGTCTTTGGTAATTATATATATATATATATATATATATATATATATGTAATATTTTGCTGTATTTATGAAGGCATTGTATGCATCTCTAAAGAAAATTTCCAACAATAAAAGGCATACTCACCATAAGAGTGTGGCTGTAAAGGAACAGCAGATGCAAGGGCAATGCCCGCAAAAATCAAAACGATTAGAAACTTCATTTCGCTGCAAAAAAAAGAAGCCACGATTAAAAAAATAATTTGAATCAGACATGAAATCCATTTTTTGGAATCAGTATTTTATCTAAATTGTATAGACAAAGATTGCGTTAAGGAATATTGAATTAAAGGAATACAAAAGTTTGACAAAATAATGAAAAAAGGAATGCGAACTTAAGATTGACGTGACTTTTTTAATGTTACATAGTACATTATTGTAATGTTACCTAGTGTTATAAATCAACGTAAAAAAATATAACAGCTCCAAACAACACGTATGAAAAGTAAACAAAAACGCAACATAAAAGTTTTTTTTTGAAAAAAGCACTTTATTGAAAAACCGGACTTAAATAAGGGAAAGGATCGCCTTTGTCTAATGTACCGAATTTAACACTGCCTGCGTAAGAGCTTATCTACTCAATCCATTTGAAGCGACAATCGTAGCCTAGACTAATTGCTGACGACTGTTGACTTGCTGGCAAACTTCAACCTCGGGCATCTCACATGTGTTTAACTGTATTTAAATCTTTCGATCTTGACGTCCAATGGATGCATGTAATATCTTCACCAACAGTTTTGAGGCATCCACTAACGATGAGGTGTACGTTGTTGTCCAGGAAGATTAGCTGAGGATCCGTGGTTTCGTTAAAACCGTGGTACAATAATAAGCAGCAGTGACGAAACCACCTTCAAAAATGTAGAAGATCAATACAGGAACCAAGAATAATATCATCCCACAAGAGACCACAACCATCTCCTTGTACTTTTTTGGTGGTGTTCGATGGTTCATTTCATGTTCGCCGCCTTCTCCATATGACTATGCGTCCGAAATTTATAGTGAGACTAAATATACTTTTAACCGTAAATTTTACTCAGCCCCAATTACTTATCTGTCTAATACTGGTGGCCCCACAAAATACGATGTCTTAAAAAAAATAGGCTTTCACGCATTTTCACAACAATACTAGCCGTCCAGCAAATGCTACGATTTTGCAATTACGGTAGAGTACTTAGAGTCTATTGCAGTGCCGGATTACCCATTGGGCCAGACTGGGCCGGGACCCCCTTAAAAAAAAAATTTTGAAAATAAATTTTAAAAAATTAAGAAAAACAATGATTTTAAAAAAAATCAATTTCAAATATATATTAATAAAATACGATAATTTTTTTTACATAATGTTAATCATATTTATTTATTACTTATTTTAGTTATTATTTATAAGTATTATTATAGTTTATGTATTATAATATTTATCAATGTCTTTTAAGTTCAAATTCGTTCTTTTGATTTGCGCTCGAAAAAATTGAAAGCAGTACTATAGCGAGCTGAGACTTGTTTAAACTAGAATCAAAGAATTAAATGTTGTTGACATTATTGAGACGTTTTAAATGAAAAAGAAGTTATTTCGTGCCTCAACTGAAGTGTCTCATAATTTTTTTAGTGTTTTATAATTATTTAGTGTCCGTAATTCTGCTTGATCAATAAATAAATACAAGATATTTTAATATAAGGTAAATGTTTGTTTATTGTTTTATATACTCTAGAAAAAATTCATACAACTGGTCACTTTCAATCAAATTTTATATATTGAAATAGTCGCTGTTTGAGAGGTTCAGGATATTATTTATTTTTATTTTAAATATGCTTTCTTAAATGAAAAGATACATAAATACTTTTATATTTGAATAAATAAAAAATATACGACAAAAAAATTTAATCTAAGGGCCCCAAAAATTTGAATGGCCTAGGGCCCCGCGTACGCTTAATACGCCCGGTCTATTGCATTACCAGGGGAGTATTAAGGCGTACATATACAAGGCGTATATATATATATATATATATATATATATAT